GGTAATAGATGGGAAAAGAAAATCGGGATATGCAGTCATAGATGGAAGAACGGGAACAGTAATAGAATCTGGACCCCTGAGTGCAGGGTGGTCAGCTCAAGCATGCGAACTGTATGCAGTATACAGGGCTTTGCTGGGTCTTGAAGGGAAAAAGGGGACAATTTTCACTGATTCCAAATATGCGTTTGGGGTGGTGCACACCTTTGGGAAAATCTGGGAAGAAAGAGGCCTGCTAAACACACGAGGGAAAGGATTGATTCATGAAGAATTAATTAAACAAATCCTAAAAGCCATTAGAGGGCCAGAAGCTATTGCTATAGTCCATGTAAAAGGACACCAAACCGGGATGCAATTCAGGGCTCGGGGGAACAATTTAGCAGACAAAGAGGCAAAAAGCACTGCTTTGCTAAAGGTAAGTGCCCCAGAGATTGAAAAAGGGGACGCTCAGGAATTCCCCCCCCACCCCTCTGAAACGGAGATCGAGGCTTATCGGAAGATCGGGGGACAGTTAGAAGGAGGTAAGTGGAAGTTACCAGATGGGAGAGAATTGTTATCAAAGGAATACACCAGGAAGATTTTAAAAAGATTACACCAACAAACACACTGGGGGGCCCGGGCTCTGGCAGAGCAATTCCTGAGATTCTTCGGCTGCAAAGGCATATATGAATTAGCTAAACAAGAGGTGCAAGGGTGCATAACTTGCAAAAAAATAAATCGTGCAAACTCCAAAAGGTTAATGAGTTGTCGTCCAGCAGCTTACCGGCCTTTTGAAAGGATCCAGATAGATTTCACTGAACTACCCAAGGTCGGGAGACACAAATTCTTATTAGTCATGGTGGACAAGCTAACCCACTGGGTAGAAGCTTTCCCAAGCTCCAGGGCTACAGCCCAAACAGTATCAAAAATCTTATTAGAAGAAATTATACCACGCTATGGGTTAGTAAGCTACATCGATTCAGACCAGGGCACCCACTTCACATCAAAGATCATCAAGCTATTAGCAGATGCTTTGGGCATTCGATGGGAATACCACACCCCGTGGCACCCTCAAAGTTCAGGACAAGTTGAGAGAATGAATCAAACATTGAAAGCCCAATTAGCAAAATTGATGTTAGAAACAAAAATGTCATGGATAAAATGCCTCCCGTTAGCCTTATTAAACATAAGAACTATGCCTCATTCCGAGACGGGACTTTCACCTTTTGAAATGTTATATGGGATGCCTTATACCCATAGTATGCCTGTAGGGCATCCGAGATTAGAGGATAAACAAATACAACCATATCTAGTAGAATTAAATAAAAATCTCGAAGAATTGCGAAAGCAGGGGGTAATTATGCAAAACAGCCCTCTTGGCTTCTCAATACATAAAATACAACCTGGAGACAGGGTGCTTGTGAAAACCTGGCGGGAGGCCCCATTAACATCTCAATGGGAGGGACCTTTTCTTGTTCTTTTAACTACAGATACCGCGATACGAACTGCAGAAAAGGGGTGGACACACGCGTCAAGGGTAAAAAAAGTCGATCTCCAATCACCAGAGTGGAAAATCACCTCCCCCCCCGGAAATTTGAAAATAACCCTACAGCGGTCGAGTAAATAACTGATCACATCTATCAAGCGTTCTATGCCGGATTGTAACTATTATCCTCTCCTACATTTCCCTTGCAGATACTGTTATAAGGTTAAACTGTTCATACCAAGTGGGTTGTTTGGGAAGTGTTTTGAGCAGGAGGAAGACCTGACTGGCCGTTTTCTGGTAAATAGCCACAAGGCTAGGATTATTCTAATTAGATCCAATGATCTAGGCTTTAAAGGGAAAGTTACAAACAAAAAGCTAAAATTGTTATTGTTGAGTGTCATAAATCAAGCAACCTACCTCGCAGTCGAGACCACACCAGTGAGGCATTTTAAACAAAGTATGCAGCTCGGCCTGAGTATGAAACCACAGACAAAGACCCCTGCTGCCAAGAAGACCATATACCCCGCCGCTGGAAGCAACCCAGTGGGCGCTGGGAACGGCAGAGGGATCCTAGCAGTGGGATTAGTCTGGGCGAGCCTGAGCTTAGTCTCATGCCTCAGTAACCTCTCCAATCCTGGGAAGGGAGAACCTGGTGGCAGATACCCAGAGGAATCACCTCCCACCTCATGGAATTGCAGCAGGGGTAAGCCTAATAAACGTTGTCCTGATATTAACACTCAACAGGGGGTGTACAAATTCAAAGAAAAATCGAAAACATACCTTGAAAACGGTCAGTCAGCTCATAAACTACGTCGAAGGAGCACAGGGGAAGTTTCAATTCCAGTTTGTAACAAATGTAATCGCACTGTATGGGTTGGGGGAAAGCAGGAATCTGTCTTTGTTGCTTATTTCCAAGCTAAACCAGTATGTTATGATCCGAACAAAATTAGTATATGTGTAATGGGGGGAAAAACCTACTGGGTGGGAAATAACCTAAAATATGAAAACAGGGTACCTCTAGAGACTGAGCCAGTCATCCTAGACCTCTTAGGGGACCAGGACGACAGGGTTTGTCTACAGTATGATAAAATGTTCTGTTTTACCAAGGACAAAGAAGGGATGGATCCGGAAAGTAAGATGAAACAGGTAATGCAAGAGGTAAAAAGACAGGAAGCTGAAATAAGAAAAAAGAGACTAGAACAAGAAAAGCTGAAATCCCTAAGCGAACAATATGACCAATTGGAAAAACAATATGCAAAGTGGGGATTGCCTGCCTCTGATCAAAACCTTTTTGTAGATCTGATGCAGGAAATTGCCACAGAATTGAAGTTGTCTAATTGCTGGGTCTGTGGGGGGCTGAAATCCGCAGAAAAATGGCCTTGGAGAGGGGAGGGATTGACCCCTGAGCAACTACTAAAATGGGAAGCTGGTGAGACCCCCAAAATAATTCAAAGACCAGAGGGGTGGGTACTAGATCAACGGGTAATTGGAACATTCTGCCTTAGCAGGGAGGGAGGGTTATATTCAGAAATTGTAGGATATACTCCTTGCATTTCCACTCTATCCATGAATTCCACCAGCCACATCAAAGTCTGGCAGCCTGAAAGCCCTCCTGGGTACTGGAGCCGAGAGAAAAAGAACAACTGTGAATGGAGCGACCGAATTGGGCTTTGCTGGTACAAAAGCCCCGGAGCTAACCCTTATCAGTCAATTAGCCAGCTAAGTAAATATTGGGACAAGCCTGAGAGCATAACAACCAGGTGGAAAGCACCTAATGGATTACACTGGATCTGCGGGAAAAAAGCCTACAGCGAATTACCCCCACGCTGGAAAGGATCCTGCACGGTAGGACTAATCAGACCTGTTTTCTTCACCCTACCCAGGTCAGAAAGTAGTTCACTGGGGGCCCCCTTGTATGAATCCCTGAACCGAGAGAAGAGGAGCTTAAAAGAAAGATTCCCTCTCATCGGTGGGGAACAAACTTGGGGAGAGGATGAATGGCCTGCTGAAAGGATCATTGAATATTATGGCCCTGCCACATGGGCTCAGGATGGGTCGTGGGGATACCGGACCCCCATCTATTTACTAAACCGTTTAATAAGATTGCAAGCTGTGGTGGAGATTGTATCCAATCACACTTCGGATGCTCTTGAATTATTATCCCAACAACACTCTCAAATGAGGGCTTTTGTGTACCAAAACAGGATAGCCCTTGATTACTTACTAGCTGGAGAAGGAGGTGTGTGCGGAAAATTTAATGAATCTCAATGCTGTGTAGAAATAAATGATTATGGAGAAACCATTAGAGATCTGGCTACAGAAATTAAAAGGGTAGCTCATGTTCCAGTACAAAAGTGGAATTCGCTTCTCCAAGCATCGTGGTGGGACCATTTGTTTGATGGGGCTTGGTGGAAGAAAGTAATTTTCTTCATTTTATGTTCAGTAGCAGGAGTCATATTCCTACCTTGCCTCATCCCCTGCTTTATAAGACTCATCCATTCAGTAGTGCAGGGAATGCAAATAGCAGCATTACCCACAGACCCAGAAGCTGCCCTAGGAAAAACAAACCAGGTACCAAAAATAATGACACTAGGAGAAGAAATTCCTCATAGCAGAGCAGCTGAGGCCCTAGCAAAATTTGAAAGACGAATAAAAAATAAAGAACAAAACTATACAGTTTACCAGGAAATTCCAAATGTAATAAATGAAAGCGAATAAAAATAAAGAAATCTTGAGATTCAGTAGAGGCAGAAATTAGGGCGCAAATTAATGGGTTAATATAGAAGGTGGGGGATTGTTATGGGTAATAGACATAATTTGCGCCTTTCCTTATATGAAATATATATTGTTAAATACTTGTTTGTACTAGCCCCCCCCCCCCCCTTCCGTTCCCCCCTTCTCCTCCCCTCCGAGACCAGGTGTATGTTAAGAAGCTCATTTACAAGTGAGAAGATACAGCTAGCCAGACGCCAGACGATGGGCCATGGCGCTGATCATCGCGTGAACGACCCGAGATGGATATCTCTGGAATCCCCAGACAGATCCATGTGGATTCAACAAACTCCAGACACTGAATTATTAACACATGGACTCTGAATAGAAGAAAGGACTGATTACAAAAATCTTGGCCTCAGGCGGAATTATCCCTATAAAACTTGCTTGTGCCAGGATGGAGGTGTGTGGGCATAGAGGAAAACCTCTCCTGAGGCTGACTTCTTGTCGCACACCCAGGGCTGACCCCGGGCTCGGCACTGTTTTTTTTCCCTTCTCCTTTCCTTATTTTTTCCTGTGGTTGGCTAGATGGAATTTGACCGCAAATAAAACTGTTGTGTTTTTTTTTAATTTGGCTGAATAAACGTTCATTTATAACACATGGAATAAGGCAGGGCATTGCCCACGTGTGCCATTGTGCATTCCCTGTGCCCCGAGTGTGTTGCGTCCCACTCCTCAGTGACATCCTGCCCATCCTGGAACATGGAACTCCCCGTTTCTGAGGACACATGGCCATTGTCACCAGCACACAGCAGGACCAGTCAGACCCTTCGGCGGCTGGGTCAAGAGCAGAGGTGTCAGAGCAATAGTGAGCGTTGTTCCAGCTTGGTTGGTTCTAGCACATGTTGTTCAAGAGGCCGATCCACACACTGAGTGGAGGTAATTATTTACAGTTCTGTGCAGAAAAGGGGGTGCTCAGGGACAAATTCACAAAGCCAACACCACAAGAACCAGAGTGTCTTAGTATTCATTTTAGCAAAGAAAGGAATTAGTGTTCATTGACTGCAAGTTCCCTAGTTCTCTTCATAATTAGTATTCTGTCTGCTGTTGGGTAATAATCCTCTCACTTCTCATGTTCATTAGTCTGCATGCTCAGTCTCACCCTTCTTTTATGTCAATGGTTTCTTGAGTGGATGGCCATTGTCTGCCCCTGCTGGAATGGCCTTTTACCTCACAGGAGGTGATTCAGCACAGTTTCTGCATTGGCTTTATCAGTTTGTTCCTTTCCTTGGGGGTTCTGCCAAATGTCCTTGTGCCCATAAAGTCTCCATTCTTTGTGTCCACCATCAGGGGTACATCCTTCTTCCCAAGCCTTGTTAACCTCCCCTGTGTCTGAGGTAACTGAAGCCTGCCAAGCCCTACACCTCAACAAGACAATTCAGCCAAGAAGTAACCTGCCTTTCAAAAGGCCTGGCCATAACTTAGAGCTTGTTGGCTACTTCTTGTTTCATCTCCCTTCTTGTTGATGAGCCTTGAAAGACACAAAGGACAAACATCAGAAAATCAAAGAACACATTTTCCTAACAACTATTTTGCATTTTGCAGATTTTTCAGCAGGATCAGTGGCTGTGTGGGAGCCAGAGCACCCTAGGCAGAGTGGGATGGCGGAGCTGTGGCCTGGGCACGATCCAGAGCGTTTCACAGGGCTCCAATCCACACTGCATTCTGCAGGGCCCCAACAGCACTACAATGCCCATCAGGGTGGCCCAGAGGTCCCAGGACCAGCAGGTGAGGGGCAGTTGTTGGGCTCTGTGGGTTGGCAGCGGGTGGTGGCTTGGCCATGGTGTTGGTGTCAGGTGCTGCTGACCCTGTGGCGCCTGTTGGGCAGAGCTGCAGCCCCACTGGTGCTCCAAGGGCCCTTTTGGGGCAGCTGCCCGGGTGGAAGTGATTCACAGGCACAGCATGGAGGAGGTGCCAGTGGAAGTGGGAGGTTCCCCATGTTGTGACATTCAGGAAATTCATGTTCTGGGAATGGCTTGTGGCCAAAATGCCTGGATTTCTCATTGTTTTGTATTTATACCAGAGTCATCAAAAGTGTAAGGATAAATTAAACCCTCGGACAGTAATTTTTTTAGTATTAGGAGTAAGCATCACTTTATTCCTGGCACTGGTGCATAGTGGAAAATTCCAGCTACATGCACACCACTTTCAAAGCTTTTCCACTTATTGATACATTTTTAGCAAACAAAGAAATGACTGTTCATTCGTTCTAAATTACATCATTCTCCTCATTAATTATTATTCTATCTTGTCTTGGATATTGATGTCTCTTTTCTTGTGCTAATTAGTCCACATTTTTCAGTCTGTTTATTATCTTTTTCTCAGACAAGTTGTTTTGAGTTCTGACGCTGAAATATCTTTATTAGCTTCTTCTTTGTCTTCTGGCTACATGTTCTTGGAGGGCTGTGAAGTCTAGATTCCAGGTTTCTGTAAGGTTTTAAATTTTTACACCCTCAGGCTTTGTTCATTGAAGGTTATCAGGGTTACTTCAGCAAAACTAAAAGTTTGGGTGATCTATCAATCCAACAATAGACTGTCAAAAGACACTTAGCTGCCTTCTCTCTAAAGCGGAAAATTGCAATGCTTAAGACTAATACACTGCTTGTGATCAATATACTGCTTATGATTAATTAAACAATTAATGACAAAGTTAATTAAAATAATAAATTAGGAAAAAAAGTGTGCTAAACAAGCCACGAAAAGCTGCATAAGTAATCCAAGCTGATGAGTTTGGTACCTACATGATTTTTTTTCCATTCTTCTATCAAATGCACAGATGCTCTTAGAGCATACTAATTTGTTAAGGTGACATAAAAGTGTTATAAATGAAAATTTGTCCAGCCAAATTAATATGAAAAAATAAAATATTTATTTTGCAATCAAATTCTATCTAGCCAGTCACAAGGAAAGAACAGAGCCGAGCCCGGGGTCGGCCCTGGATGTGCAACAAAGAGGTCAGCCTCAGCAGAGGTTTTTCTCTATGCCCACCCACCTCCATCTTGGCACAAGTGGTTTTTATAGGGAAAATTCTGCCTGAGGCCAAGATTTCACCAATCAGTCTTTTCTTCTATTCAGAGTCTATATGTTAATAAGATTTTCCTTTTTGGTGATGAGGGAGAATAATTCAGTGTCCGGAGTTTGTTGAATCCCTTGATGAAATTTATGGGAATTTGGGAACACTGCATTCACATGTATCTGCCTGAGGATTTCCATGATATCTATCTTGGGTTGTTCAAGCAATGATCAGCACCTGGGGTTTCTGTATCTCCCCAGACATGGCCCATCTCCTGGCGAGCTGTACCTTCTTACTTGTAAATCAGTTTCCAATATACACGCGGTCTCGGCTGCGAGGGCGGGGGGAATCCTAATACAAACGTGTATACTCTAACAAATATTCAATATCACATATATCATATTAGAAATGGCGCAAATTATATCTACTACATATAACAAAAGGATGTGAAGTTCAGGTGACTCCCTGTTCCTCTTCTTGTCCAGTCACTGTCCTAAGCTCTGCCAGTAGTGATGATTGAAACAGAAATATTAATGGACTTTGTGCAAATGACAGAAACATGGATGAAGCCTGCCAGTCCTTCCTTGTTCCCATACTGCTTGATGGGATGCAGTTTGGAGCATTGAGGTCAAGGTTTGGACCACCCCACAGACCTAAATTCCCTGCCTTGGTAGCTGATATTTTGGTTTTGGGGTACCTAGGCACTGTCATTATCCTTTAAATTTAATTGAGAAATTAAAAGAAAATGACTGTGAGGATGCCTCATAGAGAATTTCATAAGGTCATTATGGTAAACTTCGCTTGATTTAATTTTTGGTCTTGGTTGTTAATAAAGTGAGTGTTGCCAGAACACTGTGTTAGGTTCTTTTCAAGGAAATTGAAAGGAAGATATTGATGGAATCTTCCCCATGGATTCCATCATTTCCCACAAAGCACAACATGCTCAGGTGATGTAATTTGTTATTAATCTGTTCTCAGTGCTGTTTCCCCAAGGAGCCTGGCTCCAGCTAGACATGAGGTGTGCATTCCCCTTACATGCACTCAGTGGTGCTGCCTGCAGCAGTGAGCTGAGCCAGGTACAACCAGCTGCCCTGAGAAAAGTAGGCTCTCCCTGGCTGTGGCTGCAGCCACCTGCCTGCAGGGACTTCCCTGCCACTGCAAGTGCAGCTCTTACTCTGCCTTAGCCTAGTGCAGAGCATTTTAAACTAGCATCATGATGACTTTTTGTAGAGACAAAACTAAACTTCTGAATTTTTCACTGGGGATGTTTTCACATGTGAACGATGATTGATGATTTGTGTGATTCTTGGTGGTGGTCTACACAGACCCTAAGGGAATATTTAACATTCAGTAACTGGGATGTGAGGAGTGGTGGTAGTGAGACAATTGTGGAACTTGGTGCTGCTTTGGCTTTAGGCTAGCACTGAAAACCTCAGGTGAGACAGATCTGGTTGCTGGTAGGGTACGGGGTACCTTTGCAACATGCTTCATGCAGTACCAGTTAGGGACTGGGCTTTGTCACAGAATCAGAGAATATGCTGAATTGGAAGGGATACACAAGGACATTAAAAATCAGCTCTGTCCCCAAGAATATCCATCATTGATGGATATCCCCAAGAATATTCATCATCGATTTAAATCAACTTTCTTGATCAACTTGCCTTCTCCCATCTTCCCATTTGACACTTCTTTTTCTGTTTTCCTCTCCTTTGGGAAAACAAGCAGATGCAAGAAGAGCCGAATCAAACACTTCATGTCCTGCCTCTGAGAAAAAGAGAACAATGCTCATTAAGCCTGCAGAGAGTGAAGGGAATGCTTGCAGTGCTGTTTATTGCTGACCCTACAGGGACAGGGTGATTAATTTACTTGCTCTGAGGACTTACAAGAAGCCACAGTTACTTGCTCGCTTGCAAAGAGATGGAGTCATGCAAAAGGACAAGGGCACCCTTGGAAAGATCCTTCAGCAGGTGATATTGTGGAGTGTCTGTCAGCAATTTTTCCACCACACTATTCTTTCGTTCCTAATTGTCACTTGTTTCTCCACTGTTTTTAGATAAATTAGATACTAATGAGCAAGTTAAGAAATGCTCCCTGTTAAGTTTTTTCATCAACTTGTTATGTGCCATTTCTAATATGATATATGTGATATTGAATATTTGTTGGAGTATACACGTTTGTATTAGGACTCCCCCCCACCCTCACAGGTGAAACCTGGTGTATGTTGAAACCAAATTTACACGTAAAAGGATGTGGCTCGGCCAGGAGATGGGCCATGTCTGGAGAGATGGGGGGGGGTGGGGAGGGACCCGGTGGGGAGGGACCCCAGGCACTGATGCTCACGTGAACGACCCGAGATGGATATCATGGAAATCCTCAGGCAGCTACATGTGAATGCAGCATTCCCATAAATTTCATCAAGGGATTCAACAGCTCCAGACACTGGATTGTTCTTCTTCATCATCAAAAAATAAAATCTTATTAACCTATGGATTCTGAATAGAAGAAAAGACTGATTGCTGAAATCTTGGCCACAGGCGGAATTTTCCCTGTAAAAACTGCTTGTGCCAGGATGGAAGTGTGTGGGCATAGAGGAAAACCTCTGCTGAGGCTGACCTCTTTGTTGCACACCCAGAGCCGACCCCGGGCTCGGCTCTGTTCTTTCCTTGTGACTGGCTAGATAGAATTTGATTGCAAAATAAATATTTTATTTTTTCATATTAATTTGGCTGGACAAATTTTCATTTATAACAGCTTTATCTAGAGGTCTCAAGCTGCAGGTCTGTGTGAGGAAAGAAAGAAAACTTCAAAACTTTTGTGGCATTATTTTGCTAGAATAGCTGGCAAGTGTTATGTGTAGTAGATATAATTCGCGCCATTTCTAATATGATGTATGTGATATTGAATATTTGTTAGAGTATACATGTCTGTATTAGGATTCCGCCCCCCCCCCCCACCCCCACCCTCACAGGCGCAGGTGAGATCGGGTGTAGATTGGAAACTGATTTACAAGTAAGAAGGTACTGCTCGCCAAATCCTTCTGGGCAACTACTGCAGTGTTTCAGCAACAGAATTTGAAGATAGTGCTGGGCCTTGCATCAATTGTATTGATTTTGAAATGCCACCCTCAGCTTCTGAAGTGTGAGGAGCCCGGGGTAAAGCTCCTTGAAAGACTGGACTGTGCTGTCCACCAGCAGAGGACTTGTGGGTGCTGAGTCACCAGGAAACCAAGCTAAGTCTGGGATCCTGGTTCTACAGGTGAACTGAGTTGATTTCCAGAGGAGTTGCGTGCACTTTTCCGCCATCTCACGCAGTAATTTCTTTCTGCTTTCAAGCTGGCTCCTGGGTCTACCTGAAGATTTTAACAGAGAGGGGATTGACTACAACTCATTTTCATTGGGATGTGGCTATGCAAGGGTCTGCAAGGAATCTTACAGGGAGCACGGAGCCTGGGCAAACATCTGTGAGGCTGCGGCTTTGGCCTGTTCCAAAGGGCCCTTCCTTGGGCTCGACATCTGCAGGGCGTTGCAGAGCAGTGGGTTGCAGGCTGCTGCCAGAGCTCCAACACAACACAACTGTGGCAGCCCAGGAACCACTGCAAACCTCCTGTGGTTGTTCTGAGGCTTTCAGTGGCCAGAGAAAGAGCAAGCAGGACAAGAGGAGCTTGTGTGTCAAGAGCTAAGCCAGCATCTCCCTGCCACAAAAGGGAGGCCGTGCAGCAAAGGGAGTGGGAGCAAAAATCAACATGCACCGGTGTGCTCAAGAAGCAGCTGCACACTGCAATACTCCTGGAAATTTATTTTCTTTGCTTCTTTTTCCCCCTACATGTGATGGAAGAAGTTGGCTTTTCAGAACCAACTAAGATGCCAGGGAGAAGAAGCACACTTGCTTTTTGTTCTTGGGTGCAGGCTGGGCTGCCGTGTCTTCTGAGCTCCCCTGGGATGCCTTGAGCTCTGGCGTATGGACTGGAAGGACATGTTCTGCTGCTTCATGACTGAGGAGAACTTCCCAGGCTTTTCTCTTGTGTCAGCTGTAGAGAAGGTTCAGTTGCTGTGCACAACAAACCCAGAGCAGCTGGCTATTGTGAGGTCAAGGCAGCGGTGTCACGTCACGGTGCTCTCAGCACAGCGACGTACCGGTGTGCCCAAGGCCTGGTTGTCCAGAGCAGCTTTTCCGCTCGCTCCCTGCAGGAGGATCCTTGCACCCAAGGAGTTCTCAGCAGACGGCCTGCACGCCGAGAGGAGTCTTGCTTTTCCCCTTGGCTGGCATTCAGTGTGCAAACCCGCAGAGCACGGCCAAAATGTTCGGGCAGGTCTGTGCTGCGGTTTGCACCATCTTTTCTGTTGCTTATTCTGGATATTACCTGACCCACCTGACTCGTAAGTAAAGGTTTATCCTGGGGCTGGCGTCCCCTGGCTTTTACTTCGCTCTGCTCTATAGGCCACAGTAGTGACCGAGTTGACCTGGGAACAAAATTGCCGTTAGGATGCCACCAGTTTGGTAAATCTCCTGCCAGCAGCATCAGCTAAGAAGGGGGTATCTGTACTGGGTGGTAGGCACAGAGTGTTTGCAATGCCATTTGCAGCCTGCAGTGCTTGCCTTCCCTCCCCGGGACAGCACGTGGCAGTGGAGTCTGTCATTTCCTCAGCTTGCTGCTTCAACCAAGACAACCTGGAAATTGTGGACTCTGGGGGGAGATGCTCAGAAGTTCTTCTCAAAACCCTGTGGCTCTCTCCAGGAGTGAAGGAAAGCATCTTTCGCTCCAAATGCTGCCATTTAGAGGCCGTCGCTGTCTGCCTTGACCCTTCTAGGGTACGCCAAGGTAGCCATTCCCCGGGCGATGCAGCACCAACTCCAGTCCAGTTAGGCTTTGCTGCTGAAGGCAGGAGCTGTTGCGGGGCCGCTGCAGCAGAGAGCTGCCACAGCAAAGGGGCCCTTTGTGGAAGCTTTGCTGTTGTATTGTCTTCCAGCAACTGATGGGAATGACTTGTGCATGCAATTAAAAAAACTATCTATAAAATGCAGGGAAGCGAAGAGGAAAAACTGCTTGATCTGTTGGGCAGAGCAGAAGCTCAGCCTGTTAAAGAACAACTGGCATTCCCATGGCCGTGTTTCTATTTCTTTCCTGGCAAAAGAGGCCCAAATGTAGACAGTGCCTACTCTAGTGTCCTTGTTTGTTCTCTTGCTTGTTGCGGTGCGGTCCGCAACCTCTCACCACAACGTCCCGAGCGTGGGCGTGCTGGGCGGCGAGGGAAGAGAACGGGCGGCCGATCCCCCTGTGAAGCTCTGCAGTCCCAGTTGTTGGCGCAGGGACAGATGGAGGCGACACGGGACTTGGGGGTGCGCAGGATGGATTTATTTAGTGAGCCCCAAGACCCTCCGGGGAGGGTGAACAAAGGTTTTATACAAGAACTCAGGAGGAGGGGTTTAGGAACAACAACCAATAGGGGAATACCAGGGGAGGAGTTTAGGGCAGGACTAACATATCACAAACCTATCAGGGAAAACAGGGGAGTGGAGTAATACAACGTAACCAATAGGGTGTTGAGCCTCACTAAATAGACAGGGAAGGCTCTGGAAACAGGGGAGGAGGCTGGGAGGAGTGACAGGGAAGGTTCTGGGGAAAGGGGCAGGGGAAGGGAAGATTGACATCTTGGTGAGGAGGGGGTTAGGGAAGAGCTAGGGAAGATTGACAACTGGGGAGAGGAGGAGATTGGGGGGGGGGGGGTATGAACACTAAACAAATATCAAATTAAATAAAAAACACGCCACCACATCTCCCCCTTTCTTTTTACAAAAGGAAGGAGAGTTCTGACATTGAAAGAAAATTAATACAATAAGCAAATAATGTAAACTTCATATATAAGATACAGCAAAATTATAAAGTAACATTACAAGTTAATAAAAGAATATAAGTTGAAGAACATTAGAGAAGTACAAATTAATTACAATTACGATACACGGGTAACACTCGGCGAGATTCATAACTTGATTCGATTCAAAACTTGACTTGTCGCGGTGCTGGTGATATTCAGCTTCATGAAGTTCGTATGGCAGAGTTGAAGCAGCGAGCGGCGACATGGTCTGTCTAATTTCATTCTTTATTCATATGGTGGACATACTATCTCGTGTATTGCTTAAATGGAGTGGTTATTCTTTCTATAAAATATAACTCAACAAATAAATTATTCCAAAAATAATTAAAAGCAATAAGGGGAATTTATAATGAAATAAAAAGGAACATTGGGTAGGGTATATTAAGGAGTGGGATAGGGGAATCAGACAATCACTCTATGAGTGACTGTCATGATTACTAAAGGGAATCGGTAAGGGGTGGACCAGAGCGCCGCCATCTTAGGGGGAGGACAAAATGGCGGGTTCCCAGTCCGGGGTTTCAGCCCCACCTTCTCCCAAAGGAGACCCCTCCCAAGAAGGGGAGTGATCTCCTAAGAAGGAGGGTCCTCTGATGGGAGGTCCTCGACAGCGATCCGTCCCACCAGAGGAGGAGCCAGAAGAAGGATAGGGAGTATCCAGCCCCGCCTCCCAACAACAGGGACTAGCCTCGCGACAATTCTGATTGCCGGGGCCCTTGAGGAAGGGGAGGGGTTGGCGGGAAACCAGGGGCGGAAAAGAAGGATCACGGCGGGAAAACGGGTTCCAAGTGGCGTGGCCAGCGCCATCTTGGAAGGGGGTGCTGGATGCACTGTGCCTCCCCTCAGAGACAGCGCGGTCAACACCACCTCCAAGGGAAGGCAACAATGCCCAGCAGGGCACTTGGGGCGGCTCGTACGCTGCCATCCCCAAGGGAGGATAGGGAAAGTTTTTAGGGAAGTCTGAGGGGATGGGGGTATGGGAAGCTTCACAGAAGCTAAAAAGATCTATAGGAGGGGAGCCCGACGCAGCTGGATATCGGCGCAATGCGTGGGTGTAAGGGGCTCTGGTTAAGATTTTATCAACCCTCCCATAGTAAACGTGTCACCTCCTCTATTTCTGTCCCTTCTGTGTCTTTTCTACCCCCTCTGTCCAGCCCAGAATGGGGAGGAGAGGATAGAAAAGACGACTTCTCGAAGAAAAGAAAAAGCAATCAAATATGGGTCCCCATAAAAGACTGAGTGAGGAGTACCTGGGACCTCCCCCCCAGAAACGAAAAACCCACTCGCCCGCCGGGGGCGTACACGAAAACCGTCCCCGTCTGGACACGGGCGAGGGTTAAAACGCAAAAAGAAAAATGGGAAACCCAGCCACCCGTCGGAATTGACAAAACCGCGACCGATGGTTTTCCCATTTCGGTCGTCCTCAACCCCGTCTAGCCCTCCTTACCCTCTGGGCCCGGGTGGTGATGGCTTGATTCTCCTCCTCGTCTAGATGGTAAAGTCGCGCCGAACTGGGGACGTTCCTTCTTCGGCTTGGCCCTTCCAGAGGCCTGGGTGTTCCCGGGACCTGCAGGCAGGTCCAGCCGATTCCGGCTGCATCCAAGGCTCGTCCCCGAAGCCTTGGACTCGGCCACTATCGGCCTCTGGTGGTCTCGTTCAAAGCCGCGACCGATGGTTTTCCCATTTCGGTTGTCCGTTCTTCAGGCTCCCTTGAGCTGCTGCCAAGCCGCCCTCTTTGCCCTGGGGTAGGTCTACTCCTAAAAGCCCCGCAGCATGTCTGCCCCAGTGCAGAACGGCTGATTTGGGGAGGGGTAGAGAGCGCGGAGGCAAGGGCAGAGAGGGTCCCGGAGCCGAATCTTCAGGTCGCTCGGCGCTCGGCTCCTCTTAGCGTCCTGCAGAACTTCCACGGCCGCAGATGTCCCTCTTCCCTCCTTCTTCTTCTGTGAGGTGGGCGCCCCCACGAATTTGCCCGTTTGTTTTACAAGACGAAGGAGGGAACCATCCTCTGCTACCATCTGTTGCGGTGCGGTCCGCAACCTCTCACCACAACGTCCCGAGCGTGGGCGTGCTGGGCGGCGAGGGAAGAGAACGGGCGGCCGATCCCCCTGTGAAGCTCTGCAGTCCCAGTTGTTGGCGCAGGGACAGATGGAGGCGACACGGGACTTGGGGGTGCACAGGATGGATTTATTTAGTGAGCCCCAAGACCCTCCGGGGAGGGTGAACAAAGGTTTTATACAAGAACTCAGGAGGAGGGGTTTAGGAACAACAACCAATAGGGGAATACCAGGGGAGGAGTTTAGGGCAGGACTAACATATCACAAACCTATCAGGGAAAACAGGGGAGTGGAGTAATACAACGTAACCAATAGGGTGTTGAGCCTCACTAAATAGACAGGGAAGGCTCTGGAAACAGGGGAGGAGGCTGGGAGGAGTGACAGGGAAGGTTCTGGGGAAAGGGGCAGGGGAAGGGAAGATTGACATCTTGGTGAGGAGGGGGTTAGGGAAGAGCTAGGGAAGATTGACAACTGGGGAGAGGAGGAGATTGGGGGGGGGGGTATGAACACTAAACAAATATCAAATTAAATAAAAAACACGCCACCACACTTGCTTGCTGTGGGAAAGGGCTGTTGCTCCTGGAGGCATGTTGGGAAAGGGAAATGCTCTCTGTAGGGAATGACTTGTGCTGTGGGAGCCCCCAGCACAGGCACTTTTCTAAGGGCCTCTGGCTCCTTTTCCCTTGCTTCCTGCAGGTCACCTCACACGTGGATGGAGACAAGCCTGTGCTTTGGTGAGTGGCAAAGGAACCTCTGACGTTGCTGGCATGTAAGAACTGTGCAGCAAGCTGTGAGCTTGGCCTGTTGCAGTAGAGTGTAGAGTGCCAGCGTGGGAGGCTGAAGGAAAGGCCAGCTGCCTGGTGGCAGCAGCAGTAGCAAAGGGAGCACTGGCTCCTTCCTTATTTTCCCGTCAAGAGCCTTTCAAGAAGTGAAAAGCAAATGTGACAGCTCCAAGGTGTCTTGCTGCTTCTAGCCAGCATGGAAGATCAAATGCACAGCAAGAGGCAGTGCCACCTCATTCAGCCATCTTCCTAGGGCTTTCATGACTCCGAATTCCACTTGTATCCAAGTCTATGATTTGCCCTTATTCTGGGGGCTTTTCCAGCACAGTAGAAAGCAGCTGCAAAAGGATTGGCTGTTCCCAGTCTCTCTCACTTCTGTCTGTCTGCAGGGCTCAGCCGCAGGGTCAGCGCCTCGTCTGGCTGGCACTGTTACTGAGGGAGAGGCTGAAGAGGAGCAAAACAGCATCAAGCCTCCAGCTGCTGTCCCTCCACAGGCTGAACTTGCAGAGCCAGTAAGTGGCATCTGAGGCTGGCCCTGCCTTTGGTGCAGGGCCAAGCTTCAAGCCAGCCCTTCAAACCCAGCCCTTGTTTCTTGCGGCTGAAGATGCTGGGGGCTGTGTGCCTGCCATGACCCAGTGCTGCTTCAGCCAAGCCAGGGAGCCCTGGCCAAAGGGTTCTGAACTTTGACACTTGAGCGTCACTTTGCTGGGATGCTGAGAGAGCTCGAGAATGTCTCTTGGCATCAGACAAGAGGCAGCATGCAATTATTCCCAGCGTAGAAATGAGCCCCTTGTGCCCACTGTCAGTGCGGGCTGCCTGTGGCCAGTGGACAGAGCGCTCCAAAGACTCAGCTGACAGCCTGGCAGGATATTTGGAAAACACTGGCCCCTGGAAGGGACAAGCCAGACTCCATGGACTAATTAGGTTCAGGCATAATGTAGACTGCGCTTCACTTCCACATGGCCAGAGCAGGGTTTGGTGAAGAGAATCCTAGAGGGCTCTGCATTGTAAAGGGTGGGTGGGGCTCAGCAGGGCTGGAATGCAGCCCCAAAGGGCCGCCCCCTAATGCCTGAAATACAGAGGGGAAATCAGTGAAAGGGATCAGAGAAGGGACACGCTCTGGGCTTCTGGGCAGACAGTTGCATGCCGGCTCCAGGATGATTTCATTGCCCAGGAAAACACAGGAGGAGGAAGAACTGCAACAAGGCTCTGGAGCCCTGCTCTCATCTCTTTGTGGATCTTTGCAAGCCCAGCAACAGCTTGTCGCAGTCGTGCAGAAAGGCCAGCACAATGGAGCAAGGAAGTGGCCATGAGGGGCTGTATCAAAGTAGCCTTAGTGGTTTTCCCATTGCCTCTGAGAAGGGGACGTCCAAAAGCCCCCAGCTGAGGAGGCCTGGCGGTGGCCGACAGCATCTTCCAAAGGCCTTGCTTTTGTCTTGTGCTCTCCGGGGCGTCTGTGCCAGCCGCCCTTCTGACGGGCAATCCTTTCTGGTCCCAGCTCAAGACAGGCTCTGCGATTCAACCTGGCTCTGGACCAGCATCGCCTGCAGCAGCCAGCTCTCCCCCAGCTGCCAGCACTTCATCCAGCAGCCCAGCCCAGCAGCCCGAGATGAGAGAGGAGCAGGGCCTGAAGACACTGAGTACGTCTGCCGTGTTTCTTGTCTGCCAGAGCAGTGCGTTGTCTGCGTGTCTCGGTGCAGGCGGTGCCAGAAGTTCCTCCTCGCTCTCGGAGGCGCTTAGGCCTCTCTGCAGAAGCTGTTGTTGTGCTTTGAGGCAGCGAGGGAGCGCTCGGGGTGTTTCTGCTACCTCTGGGGGCAGCTGGGCCTGGCTTGGCTCTGCCTGGGCTGCCTTTCATGCCAAAGGCAAAAGCAGAGATTGTTTCTGGTTGAGCAGAAGGGCTGGCACGTCGCGAGTGACTGGACCCCAGGGAGCTCTCAAGCTCCTGACAGTGGGCACGCATTTTGGATTGTGCGGGCAGCAAGGCCTCCGGTTGAAAGTGAGCCCCTTGCACTGCTTTTGTCTTTCTCAGGGAGCATTGTGAGTCTGGGCGAGCCAATGAAGAAATACAGGGCATTTGAAGAACTTGGACGAGGGTAAGTGGGACGTCTGCTCCACAGAACAAACCATGGGCTGGGTCTTCAGCTTGTGCAATATCAAGCGTGAAGTCAGGCGAGCTCCAAACATGGTCAGGCTCGGGCTTTGCCTCCTGCCACCTCTCAGGACGGCTCAGTCAGAGCAGTCAGGAAGCATCAGCAAAGACAAGTTGATGCAAGCGACGTCTGGCTTGCAGCAGTGAGGAGCAGGACCTGGGAGATCTCCTGCCCCTGTGTCTGTATGGCCTCAAAGGGCACCTTGCCGCTCAAGAGCTGCCTGAGAACAGTTCTAAAAGGCAGTGTTTTCCAAGTTAGTCTTCTCCAGATGTAAACCCGGATGCACACCTGTGTGCAAAGCCACAGACAGAGGGAGACCCCCTTACACTGGAATGGAACCAAGTGGGCATGTGCCTTGGAGATTTGCAGGGTTCCTTGGTCTTCATGTGGGAGCTCAGTGTTCTCTTGGACACCTGGTCCTGCGTGGCAGAGGGCTGGTGGGCTGACGTGCTGCCGGCTGAAGAGACGCCGCAGCCCGGCCTTTTCTAAGGAGTCCAGGCAGCCTAGGGAGATCTCCTGCCTAGGCTTGCTTTCACTGCCAGGGCTATAAAGGGCTTTTTCTGCTGCCGTTTTCTTTCTAGGGGCTTTGGAGCGGTTTATAAAGCCCTCGACACCAGCACAGGACAACAGGTGAAGTGTCAATACCCGCAGCAGTTTCTCCCTAAGCTCTGCTGTCTAGCAACAGGGCAGTTTGGCACAGCTCGCTGTGTCACGGCATGAGCACTTGCTCTGTGTTGCTTGAGGTCTCGTGCAGGGAGTGACTTCTCAAGTTAATGGTCGCCAATGTCTTTTCAGGTGGCCATCAAGATAGTGTCTCTTCAGGAGAAGATGTCCGAGGAGCTGGCTGTCAATGAAATCCTGGTGATGAGGGACACCAGGAATCCCAATATTGTCAGCTACTTAGACAGGTTGGGGTGTTCTCATGTCTGTGTAGCTTTAGAGAGTGCAAGCCAGAAGTGACAACGCCCTTTGGTTGCCGGCAGAAAATAGAGCCGTTTAGCATTTCCCTACTCATCTGCAGTGCGCAGGAGGAGTTTGCAGCTGGTGTTCAGTAATCTCTTCTGGCATGTGTAGCTTGGAGAGCAGTTGCAAAAGCCCGGGTCAGGCCCTGGGGTGCCTGAGTTGTGCCCGTTCCTCTCTGTCTCTCTCCATGCCGTGGTTTCCTTCTTTCAGCTACCTGGTGGATGCGGAGCTCTGGCTGGCGATGGAGTTCATGGATGGCGGCACGTTGTTTGATGTGCTCAGGGCAGTGTACCTGGAGGAAGGAGAGATAGGCGCCGTCTGTCGGGAGGTGAGGCGTCCCGCTTGTGCTTCCCCTGGCCTGCCCAGGATGCTTCTTGTCAACTGGTGGTTAAGGAGAGCAGAGATTTCTTGCCCCCGGCTTGCTTTTGGCGCTGCTCTCATGACACAGAGGAGAAGAAAGAGCATTAATCTGAAGTGAACTGCCTGCTGGAGTCCCCGCGCGCCTTAGGCTCTGTTCTTGCACTCTTCCATGCTTTCTGTCCTCTGGCGCTCGTGCTCGCTCACCTGCTTTGTTTCCTTGTTTCCTCCTCTCAGCTTTGCCTCTGAATGTTTGCCTGGAGCCTGTCCATCTGTCCTACATTCCTTGACATTCTAAGCCCGCATGCGGGTGGCAGAATTTCAAGCCACGGGCGAAGATGTCCTCAGCTTCAAAACATGGCGTTGCAGCCCAGATGGCGAGGGATTCTGAAACAGGTCTAATGTGCTGCTTCCTCCTCTGCTGCCACAGGGCTTCCAATGAAATCGTTGCCATGCTGCTTGCCAGCCAAAGGTCACGTGCTTGGTACCAATGGCAGGATGGACTTGTGCGAGTTCAGATGCCTTCGCTTTGAAATATCGAAAACACTTCTAAGAGTGTTGAAGCAGCAAGCTCTTCCTCTTGACAGCACCGTGCTAGTGCGCCCTCCTTCACAATTCCCTGAGAAAGCTGTCAATCTCTTGGAGCCCTTTCCTTTCTTCTGGGATCAAATCAGATGCTGAATGTTAACTTTCCTTCCCTTCTTTCTCTCTCAGTGCCTGCAAGGACTGCATTTCCTCCATTCCCGCCGAGTCATCCACAGAGACATCAAAAGCTGCAACGTTCTCCTGGGCATGGACGGATCTGTCAAGCTGGGTGGGTATCCCCCCTGCTCAGGGGCAGCGTTCCCTGCGTGTGCTGTGGGGCTGCTTTTTGGTGACTGCCACTTCCCCAGAAGCGCTGCTCAGCCAGTGCGTGAATGGTGAGGGTGTTTCCGAAATGGCCAATGCCCTATTTCCCTGGCTCCAGCCACGGGGAAGGCGAGCTCAGCTGCGTTTTCAGCTAGACTCGGCATGGCCTTGGCAGGCTTGGAGTGGGCCATCCTTTAGCCCGGTTTGCCAGCAGGGGCTGGCTTTGAGAGGCTTTGTTTTTCTCCTCAGCTGACTTTGGCCTCTGCGCTCAGCTCAGCCCTGAGCGCAGCAAGCGCAGCTCCAGAGTGGGCACTCCCAGCTGGATGGCCCCGGAAGTGGTGAGAGGAGAAGCCTATGGCCCCAAAGTGGACATCTGGTCCCTGGGGATCATGGGGCTGGAAATGGTGGAAGGGGAAGCTCCTTACGAGAGGATAGCCCGTGTCAGGGTAAGGTGCAGCTTAGCAAGGGGTCTCTGTGTGGAGAGAGCTGTTGTGGCTAGGAAAGGAGCAGCTCGAGTGTCCTCTTCCATCCATGTGCTGTAGGTTTTTGAACTGATAGAAATGAACGGGCCCCCAAAACTGCAGAACCCCAGGCACCACTCGGCTCTCCTGCGCGACTTTCTGCGCTGCTGCCTGCAGGCAGACGAGGACAGGCGCTGGTCTGCCCAGGAACTCCTGCAGGTAAGAAAAAGCAAAGGGGCAAAAAGCCCTGTGAGCTGAGGACACCTGCATCAAGGGATCAAGAGGAGTGTGGGCTGCGTGGGTGAGACAGGTTCCAGGAGAGGAAGGCCCACGGGGAATGTGCTGCCCTCGGTCCTCTTGGTGTGTCTTTTGGGCAGCCAAGGAGTCCTGCTTGGGCCCGTGAGGATGTGCTCATGGAAAGTAACGGGGGTTCCTTTCTTTTTTGGTTTTTCTTCCGGGCAGCATCTGTTTGTGACCTCAGGCGAGCCAGCCTCCAGCCTGGCTGCTCTGGTCGCCTCAGCCAAGCAAGTGCTGGAAGACTGGAGAGGAGACGCTTGCGCCTGAGGAGGCCCTTGTGCCGTGCCAGCTCAGAGCAGGGGCAAGGGGATGTATTGCGTTTAAACAGAGATTCAGCCATCCCCTGACTTTTTAATAAGGGGCTGTGCTGTAGATAGGAAATTTAATGGTTTCAGAATTTTCTTAGTTAAGCTGGGTTCAATTTAAGCTTTATAGAGTGCAAGCCTCCCTTTCCCTGCCCCTTCCCTAGAACATTCCCTGTCACTCCTTCTAGTGTCTTCCCCTTCTTCCAGAGTGGTCCCTGTCCATTTAGTTACACTCAACACCCTAATGGTTACTTTGTGTTATACCACTCCCCTATTTCCCCTGACAGGTTTATGATCTGTTAGTCCTGCCTTAGACCCCTCCCCAGGTCTACCCTTATTGGTTATTGTTCCTACTCCCCGCCTCCTGAGTTCCTGTATAAAACCTTTGTTTGCCCTCCCAAGCTGATCTTGGGGCTCCATAATCTTCACTGAATAAATCCATCTTGTTACACCCCAAGATCCGTGTCACCTCCATCTGTCCCCGTGCCGATAACTGGGATTGCAGAGCTTGCAGGGGGACGGCCACACCTCTCTTCCCTTGCCGCCCAGCACACCACTCGGGGTGTCGTGAGGGGACGCGACACAAAAGTCACAGTTAGAGCTAAGCATGATGCTTGTCTTCCTCCTGCTTGTTTAATACACATCTTTGTTTCTAGGCCTGGTGATTTTCCAGGATGCTACTGCCAAGGAGAAAATTGTCACTATTGCTGGTTTTGACATTGCTTTTTTGTAGAATTTTGATCTATATCTACAGTGATCTACAGGATCTGAGTCTTTGACATGAAGTTCCTTCAAGCAACATTTCTAAGCATAGTGGGCAATAAAGTCCAGATACTAATGAGTTGTGGTTGTTTTAACTCTGTGTAACATATGGTACATTATCACAAAACATGTTATTTTTGAGTGTTTCAGGCAATTAAAACTTAGGCTTATTCTTGTCAATACTTTACTTTCTTCCCTTCAGAAAGCTGTATGTCCAAGTACTAATTTCTTTCTGAGTTTGCTGAAACTTTACCTGTCGGATAATACTTCTTTCTTGACCCAGAGAGGGGGCAACTAACAGGCCTTTTAAAAACTTTAATTCTATTTTAGACTCATGGGAAGGGTGAGACAATACAGACATTATAATTCAAGTCATCACAATTAGAAGCTGACTATTTCTTAATTACAATACACAATAAGTGTTTCTTGGCCTATTAGCTTTTTGCTACACCATGATGTAGATATCTTAAAGCCGATCATCTAAAACTACTCCTCATGGGTCCTGCTGCAATGCATCTTTCATAGTTCTATTTCTCCAAAATATCTAGTCTTATTTGCAAGGCTATCTTTTGAAACTTTTTTCAAGCTCCATTTCTCTCTCAACAATATCTGTCCTATTCCATGGCATTTCTAAGTCAGCATTTCTTGTCTCAAGGTTGCATACGGATGCATACTCTGTAGGCTTTCTGTCAGGTCCTGAGAGCTCTCTACAACTCCATTTCCCAAATTTACCAATAGACAAGTTTTTTACCATAGAGTCAGCTACTGAAATAAAAAAGGAACATGTATTATGAAATTTCAAGTTCTGAAGGGTAGTATATGTTGGGGTGAGGAGAGGGGGAAGAAGGGAAATGATTTTAAAATAAATTAAATTTTAAAATGGAGCCCTCATCTAATATTCCAGTATTTGGATATGAAACTAACTCTCCTCTTTTCTTTGATCATAGCAAAAAAAGTTCATTCTTTCATGTTATGAGCTACACAGAGGAGTCCTGGAACTTTCCAGTGAATTTGCCAAGGCTTGCTACTTCCTTGAGGTCTCTTGTCTTCCTGAGGATGGGATACCTTTGGGAGTATAAATCTAGCAAATGGAAAAATTCTCTCTTTTTTGCTGGTTTTCCCTCTAGGAATTCTGTGGAGGATCTACAAGGCAATCTCTGAGAATGTACCTATTTGGTTTTGGATTGAACAGGCCCAACCTTAGATAATAAGATGCCTATTGTTAATATCTTGGTATTAGGGAGTAGTGTTTGTTTTATATCATTCTGATCTAAAATGGAAGCCTTGAATTGAAAAAGATTTTAAAAGTATTAGCGCAAGTCAGTGACTTGAAAGTTAGTGGCTCCAAGTGGATTGGCAACTCCAAATACCCACTTTGTATATACTCAGGCTCAGAAGTGGCTTTTTTTTTTTAACCTGGTCACATTTTATCTAATTGTAAGAATTTATCTTATTGTTACATTTTTAAGGATATGTATGAAGTAAACCTGCTACAGATCTACACGGAATTTTCATTTGGGTGCTGTGTTTTACTCGTGATCCTACTGTTCAGTACTAACTGGAAAAACCACACCTTTTCCTCTTACCTGTCAGTGTAATAAAGCCTTCATCCTCTGTGTCCCAATACAGGGAGAATTGAACCTTAGCTGAAACTTAGCAGATTGAAAAGTACACAAATGACTGCTTTATTCAAATCTGAATTCCATTTTATACGTCTCCTTATTTTCTTTTTTTTCCTAGTACTTTCTCTTACAAATGTCATAATTTGCTGCTAAAAACCATGAACATGTACAATTCAGTTTTATGTTTAGGTATGATGAATGATAAAGGCAGACCAAAGGAAAGTACCAAAAATTAGAATAAAAGGAAATAAAAGTAGTTTCACTCCCTTTTTTCCCCCAAATTTGGCTTGATACATTTTTAAGTACACCCCATTCTGCGTCCTTTTGATTGGTATATAAAAGCATGACAGGAAAAGTGGCTTCCCAGGCTTTTAGAAAGGAAGACTTTTCCCATAAAGATTTTGGGGTTTTCACTTTTTTTTTTTCTTTTTTTTTTTTTTTTAATTAAAGTTATGCACTACTTAGTAGCAAACAAATGAGAAGAATCAATTTTATCAGTGTTGGAAGCTAACTTGATGGGGTGAAATCTGGGACCTCCCTCTGCTGAGTCTGGAGAGCAAATAGGACTTGTGTGTATCTGTATCATTTTATTTCAGAGCACTTTCTTCAAAATTCTTTTATTTTTTAACTGACATTTAGGCATAGGTTAGGTTCCTCAGGTGGTGGGCAACAAGGAAGAAGTTACTTCTGCCACAGGAGTCAGTGCTCCTGCTGCCCCACCTTCTCCCTTTCCATCCCCCGCAGTGTGGTGAAACCTCTGGAACCGCTGCGCTAACAAATAGCCCAACTGCCCAACGGCCACAAACTGCCCAACTGCCCAACGGCGTCCGTGCTGTGCCTGTCACCCTGCGGCCCCACTGCTTCTACAGCACAGGCTGTGCTTGCTTTCACGTCTGTTTGGGTGCTGACAAAGTTCATGTCTTCACTAGAAAGGTTTCAGCATGGACTGTAGGAAGGTACTTGTAGTCTTTTAAATGAAGAGATTTTTCCTCTACACATTGAATGTTTAACAAATTGTAAGCACTGCATAATTTTAAGATGGCAATCTTGTAATTATCCAAATGAGAAAGGTTTTTAATCCCTTCTTTCACCTAGAATAAAACTGACGGAGAGAAGGAAGAGGAGTTTTTAGTGCAAAATAGTGCTCCAACTCTTGAGTCACCTTCCACGGTAGCTGTAGCAGGTACAGTAAGCATCAATCCACTGTCTCTGGGAGTCTGCCACCAAATCAAGAAGGGATACAAAGCATCACAAGTGAAACAGATGGCATGGCAGAGGCACAGAATACTGCAGGGCAGATACAAGATCTACAGTCTCACCAAAATATTTCTTCAAAAGGTTTTGATGCCAGTGTCAGCTCCAATAGTGGTAATCAATCAGAGCCAGAGCATGCTGAAAATGGTAAAGAAAAAGGTAAAAAGAGCTGTCTTCAACTTAAGCAACTCTCATTTTACCATTGCTTATGTATCTTCATTCTGTTATAGTTTTGCTGCTGGGAAGTGAATTTTTTCTAGGAAATAGTAGCCTACTGTCTACTTCAAATGTGTGGAAATGGTGTAATTATCTAGTGAAAAACATACAACTGCCAGGAAGTTTCTTGGCCTTTTGTTAGGAATTGTGATGATTTCAATGAGGAAAAAAGTATATAAGAATGATGTTTTATACTGGACCTGACAAGAAAGGTCCAGAACAATCTAATACATTGTGTAAGGAATATTTATTGTAGCAAGATGAAAGCACTTTGAGTGCCCTGCTTACAAGTAAAAAGATGTTGTTTCTTGCACAGAACTTGATACTCTGTAAGCTATTTAATTTCGGGAAGGAAGTGCCAGTTATTGCATGTTTGGGCAACCACTGCCCCTTGTGAAGTGAATGTTCTGAAAAATGGAAGTCAAGCTAATATCAAACATTGATCTTCTTAGCTGGGTTTCACATTCATGTGATTTTGAGATTCATCCTGAGACCACCAGAGAGAAGAGGATAATAGACACAGCCAGCACTTGTGCACATGATGTCAGTGTACTGCTGCCTGCATTTTAACTGTTGGCAAGGCTGGATCCGAAAACTTTTTTGTGAAAGTGACTGACTCTTTAGCACCTTGTATTGTGTCAAAAATACAGCTTTTTTTCACTGTGCTGTAATGCCTGAAAAATTTATAACACTGAGGAAGAAAACGCTTGTCTGACTAAACTCCTGAGATTACAGATTTTTTTTTTTCATTGCAACACATTTCAGTTAACAATTAACTGAATTTCCACAAAATGCCTTTAAAGTGTGTTACTATAATTCATCTGGAAATATTGTTTTAAAAGAAAGCAATAAAATGTGTTTCATTCAACAAAGCTGAGAGTTTGGAAAAGGTCAATAGGCAGCCCTCAATAAATATATATCTATTGTTTTGTTAATCACAGACATACATACTTTGAGAAAAACACAGAGAAATGTAGACTTTTTAAAATTGTTTTTGTTATTTCTGTTTCTTTCTACTTTTTGGGGTCTTTTTCCTCCTTTTGAGTGTTTAGAGGCCAAAAAAACCTTCAAAATGCTCAGGGAAGAGACAGTGCCTCCAAAAAGCAGAAAACAAGCCTCAAAACATCTGTGAAAAGTAGTAAGTACAGCAGCTCAGTGTGAAATAAAATACGTGAAAGTACCATGTCATTTATTTGAAATTAATATTAAAAAAGGTGAATAGGAGCTAGGATGTAATAATCAGTCTTGCAAAGTCTTTTAAAGATGATATAGCTCCATAAGTAGAAACGTGGAAAATTTTGGCACCTACATGAACACATTATGTGCCTCTTCACCTTATTTTCTGATGCAGGCAATTTATTTATGGCTGTGATTCTAAAGCAGTAAGTGCACTGCTGTTGTGATCCAGTTGGAGAGTAGAGTGGACTATGGCTATACAAACCTTGAGCAGCTGGATCATATTCAAGAACCTGCTTCCAAGAAGTGTGTCCCTACCCTACCTCCTTATGTTCCTGCACACACACATTCAGTTAAATACCTGCCAGTTTTTGGGATGGATTGTGGAGCCATAGTCTCCTACTTTTATCAACCTTCTATGTCTGTAGGAATTTGGTTCCCATAAATCCACAGAATAGATCTGAGTCTACATACACAACAAAACTGGCCGGGGTTTCCAGTGCAAGGTTTCCCTTTCCCAGCATGCCAGAATTAAAGGGGCCCCATTACAGGCCAGGTTTGTGGTTCTGTACCTGGGCACCCGTGGAGCAGAGCTGTGTGCAAAGCTACTACACCAGGATGGATTCTGTCATGTTAGAGCAAGACAGCTCCTGGTAAGCTTTGGGTTGGGTGGGAAAGTTGCTTTGTTTTGTAACAATCTACCTTCCCACAGGAAAATGTGAGCAAAGTGAAGAGAGGAAGTCTGATGTAAAAGAACACGATAATCATTTGCCCAAAGGTTGCAAATGGAGTTTTCAAGTGTGTAAGTATCTTCTTTGAAACATGCCTCTTGTGGTCTTGCAATATACTTTAAGAAGATTTTTTAAATTTTCTGCTTCTGAGGATTTTTTACCTCTAAAATCACTCCATCCCCAGTTTGCTTAATTTTGTCATATATCCTGATAATTTTCCTTTCTTGCTGTTTTACTCTTTGTTCTCTGTTTCTTGTTCCCCCTCTAAGATTATTAATTTTTAAATCTTCCCTTTCAATTTTGCCATAATAAACCAGGACTTGCTTAGTATTTCTTGTAAGAAGAAGTTTCAGTGTGTTTGTGTCAGTCAAGGTAGTGATAATAAACAGCAGTTGCTGTTTCTCAGCTTTGCTGCCTGCTACCTCAAAGCACATCACTAAGATTTGAGTACCTCCCCCTTCATCGAAAGAGAAGGCTTGGGAGCTGCTGCAATGCAATAATTAACAGAAATTGTTTCACTTGCAGCTGACTTGCAAAATTTGAGTAGCACTGAGTGCATACCAATTCTCCAAGCAAAAATGCAGGAAATCCGTAAACGCTATCGGTTGCTGAAAGCTGAGTTGGCTGCCATTGACAGGAAAAAGCATTTAAAGAAAAAAAAAGAGCTGGAAAGTAAGTGCTGGGAACTAAAATCTACTTTTAGAGAGCTAACTTGCATGTCATGTTACTAAGGTTTTAACAAGAGTTGGGTAATCTTTAGGGAGATTACTGCTGTTAGGAGTGTGTTTAAGCTTGCTGTTTTTCTGAAAACACTGGATACATTTATTTTATGAGTTTTAGAAGGTCCAGACCAGATACCCAGTGATGATGTAAGGGGAGAAACATTAACAAGGCAGTCAATCCAGTTAATTCTGTTAAGGCAGAACTATTTTATACAGGAAACAATAAACAGAAAATAAACTTTTCCAAGCAGTGAACAAAGTATAGTTGTTAATAGCTTCTCATTTTTTGTCAAGTTCGATTTATTTCCTGTACCATTGCCTTTGTGCCTACTGAGTGCTTTCCACTTAGGATTAGGGAATTATTTCAAGAGTGTAAGGGAGATAATCAATAAAATGCCTCATTTTTCTGAAGATGCCACGTCTTGCTGCAGGAACTGTTCTAGTGTGCCTTCTGCTAAGAGTGTTAAAAGGATATTTTTTTCTCTGTCTTGTTCATGCATGCATTTAAGAGTTCACTGAGTACATGAAGAATTAGTGAAATCACACTAAGATTGTATGGCTGCAGCCATTGCAAGGGAACTGCAGTTGCTACTTGGTTGCCAGAGGAGGTACAGATCCAGTGGTGGGACAGGGTCCTATCTGTGCCAACTCCCGGAGGAAAGAAAGAGAATAGCTGACTTGTTGGTGGGTCAGAAATGAACTTTGGTGTCCTCTGGCTAGGCATGGCTTATCAGTCAGGGCTTTAAGGGGCAACAACGCCAAAATTGGGGGAAAGAAGCTTTATTTCTTCATCACTAGGGGCTAAATACTGAAGTCAGTATATATGTCCTCATTTTGGCCAGGAGAGGGGTTAATCTTTTGCAGTAGCCAGGAGGAAGCATGGCTAGGTTATTCCATACCACCTCATATCACTGTCAGGAGCAGGGGAAAGGGATCCTGTTCTGGAGAGGAGTTCTTCTGGTCAAGAAAATGTGGCAGAGGAAGCTGTCTAATATTGTCTATTATCTGGGGGTTTTTCCACATGAATAGTTTCTTTTCTTATACCCTCTGACATTAGTATTGTTGCTGCTACCATTTGGTTTTATATATCATTGTTGCTTCAAGTAAGTTGTTCTTATCTTAACCAATAACCAGTACCTTTCATGCCTCCAATTCTCCTCTCCAGCACACTGCAGCAGTGTGGGAGAGTAAGAGAGAACAGTGTGTGGTTTGAAGCCTCAGTGGGGGCACTGAACTGGGGAGTACCATTCCTAAACCACAACAGCCTTGTTTGTCTCCTAGTGTAGGGCTTGAAGGGTCGATATAATAACAGATCTGCCCAGTGTGAGCTGGAAATAATTTGATCTAAACATTAGTTTTATTAGGTATAGAGCCACAGGTCACAATGCTGCTTGGTCTACTCATGTGGGTGTGCTACCTAACCCCGTGGTGGGTTGCCCTTGACTTGATGCCAGACACCCACCAAAGCCTCTGTATCATCCCCTCTGCAGCTAGACAGGGGAGAGAAAATATAACAAAGGGTTCATGAGCTGAGGACCAGGAGAAATCACTCACCAAATACTGTCACAGGCAAAACCAGCTAGAATTAGGGATACTAACTGAATTTGTTACTAACAAAATCAGAGAAGGATAAAAAGAAATAAAAACAAAAACACCTTCCCCGTACCTCTTCCTCCTTCCCAGCTCTACCTCCTCCCCTTCAGCATCTCAGGGAGACAGGGGATGGACAATCAGCTCATTGTGTGTTTCTGCTGCTGCTCAGGGAGAGGCGTCATTCTCCTGCTCCAACATGGGGTCCATCTCGTTGAAGACAGTTCTCCATTAACTTCTCCACTGTGTGTTTATCCCATCGGTAACAGTTTTTCACAAACTGCTGCAACAGGGATTACTCTTCCATCATGCGCTTCAAGAACAGGCTGCTCCAACATGGGTCCGCCAAAGGGTCACAAGTCCTGCAGGAAACCTACTCCAGCATGGACTCCTCTCTCCACAGGCCTGCAAGTTCCTGCTCCAGCACAGGCCTCCCATGGCTTCACAGCCTCTTCTCAGCATTCACCTGAGCATGGCTCTTCTCCACAGACTGCTGGTGGATCTCAACTCCCCACTTCCTTCACCACTTACATTGGTGTCTGCAGAGTTGTTCCTCTCAAATATTCTTCTGCTCTTCTCTGGCCACAATTACATCTGTGCAGTAACTTTTTTTTTCCCCTTTCTTCTTAAATATGTTGTCACAGAGACATTACCATAATTTCTGAATGGCCCAGCCTTGGCTAGCAACACACCTGTCCGGGATCTAGTTGGAATTAGCTCTGCCAGACAGTGAGGAAGGTCCAGCAGCCTCTTAGAGAAGCCATCCCTATAGCCCCCCAGTACTAAAATCTGGCCTATAGAAACTCAATATGTTTCCACATATGCACTGTGTGCCCATCGTGTTTCTCTTTTTCGGAGCATGGAGAGGTATCAGGATTGCTCTCTTGCACTGTTTGATATCAGCTCATAACCTCATAATATCAAGGGTCATTCAGGATGTATATTCAGTATTGCCCTCCCTCCCTTAACTAAGGCGCCACACTTGGGAGTCCATTATTAAAAGTATCCAGTCTATGTGGGTGGAAAGAGCAGGATCATTTTCCCCAGCCTTTCACCCCCTTTTCCCCCTTCAGGCCTATTACAACAGCTTTTAAGAATTCTGAATTCCCTTTAGATGTTAAGGAAAGTATGTTCATGTTGTTAGGTCTGCTAGGTCTCTTCAGTGCAATACACACCGTATTTAGAGCCAAGAAAGATTTCTAGGGAGGTTATTAAGAGATCTGCCCTGAAGTGGGACAGTAATAAGTGGCATGGAATGTAGGTGGACATGAGCCAGTGTTTGGAGGACTTCTCCAATGGTTTAGCAGTTCACCCAAGAACAACTACAGGAACCTGTCAAAGTGATTAAGTATGTCAAAGAAAAATGCTGTAGTAACTCCAGAGAGGCATGAATTTATGCAACATGTTCTGTCCTGGCTACTGTTTACTGGACACTGCTCAACAGCAGATAGTACCCCCAGGAAAAGGAGAAAGAAAGCAGACCAATCAGCACCATGGCCACTCAAACTGCTTCTGAACCAGAGGAGCAACACTTGCTAGTTACAGTCAATCCTACACAGAAAAAGAAATCCAGCATGTAATCAGCTCACTTCATGAGGGATGAAGAGGAAGTAGAACCCTCAAAACAGGCGGAAGAGGCAGGGCCAGAGATAATCACCCAATCCCAATCTCCAAGTGAGCTGTGAGATATATAAATAAGATTTCAACCACTAGTCAGGAGAGCCCCTGGTGATCTGGCTGGTCTGATTCTGGGATGTTGTGGCCCATGATATGATACTGGATGGCAGTGAAGCCAATCTTTGTCCTGGAATATGGGCATTGACAAGAGGATTGGGAAGAGCACAGAAACTCTCAGCCTCTGGAGACAGTTCTTGTCAAGTGTGAGGGAAAGGTATTCTTGCCTGGTCTCTCAGAGGACCCTTCTGCTGTGGGACTCCTGAGGGCTGAAGAAGAACAGGCGCTGATGGCTACTACAACAGTGCAGTGTTGGCAATATCACACCAACCAGGACTCCTTGACCCCCATGCAGGAGAATATTTGAGAGCAGGAGAGCCAGGAAGTGGTCAGCAAGATCTGCTGACCCTTTAGTAGTCCTATATGGCCAATGTGTAAGTCCAATGGAGAGTGGAGTCTGAATAGACTGTTGCCCCAGTGGTGGAAACACAGACCCACTATTTGCCATGTGCTGATCCAGGCTACACTAGAAAAGGGCGAGGCTCCAGAACACTTGCAATACATCAATGATATTGTATGGGGCAACACAGCAAAGAAACTTCTTGAGAAAGGGGAGAAAATAATCCAGATCCTCCTGAAGGCTGGTTTTGCCATAAAGCAAAGCAAATTCAAGGGATCTGCCCAGGAAATTTAGCTTTTAGAAGTAAAATGGCAAGAGGGAATGTCACCAGATTCCAAAGGTGTGGTGGACAAACAAGCAGCTACGTCCCCACCAACCAGCAAGATGCAAGCACAGGTTTTCCTAGCCACTGCAGGTTTCTGGAGGATGCATGTTACAGATTGCAGTCAGATTGTAAGACTTATTATATTATATTATTATATTATTTTATTTTTATATTATATATTATATTATGTGACATGGAAGAAGAATAATTTGAAGTGGCATCCTGAACAAGAACAGGCTTTTGAATGATCAAAACAGGAGATTCTTCATGCAGTAACCTTTGGGCCAGTCAGGATAGGAGCTCTACACTGCAGACAGGGAGAGTGGTCTTTACTGGAGTCTCTGGCAAAAAGTACCCAGGGAGACTTCAGGATGACCAGTTGGGTTCCAGACTTAGAGATACAAGAGAACTAAGGTGTGTTACACCCCACCTGAAAAAGAGATCTTGGCAGCTTATGAAGGGGTTTGAGCTGCTTTGGAAGCGATTGGCACCAAAGCACAGCTCGTCCTTGCACCCTGACTGCCAGTGCTGGGCTGGATGTTCAAAGGGAAAGTCCCTACCACATACCAGCGTACTGATGCTACATGGAGTAAGTGAGTAGTGCTGATCACACAGTAGGCTCAAATAGGAAATACCAATCACCCAGGAATCTTAGAAATCAAGGAAGTCAAACATTTTGGACTATCATCATCAGAGGAGGACAAAAGGGTGATGTGCTGAGGAGGCCCCACCATATAATCAGGTACCAGTAAAAGGAAAATGCCCTCATCATTGACGATTCCTGCCACATGTTGGGGATAAATCAAAAATGGGAAGCTGCTATATGGAGTACTACATGGCAAGTTGTAGAAGCTACTACAGGACAAGGTGGATCAAGTCAATTTGCAGAGCTGAAAGCCATCCAGATGGCTTTAGATATCAGTAAACAAGAGAAATGGCCAGCGCCCTACCTCTACACTGACCACTGAACTGTGTGGAGTTCAAATGCTCTGTAGGGGTGGCTGGATCAATGGAAAGAGATAAATTAGCAGCAGAGAGGTAAACCCATCTGGACTGCTGAAGTTTGACATGACATCACTGCTTGGATAGAAAATCACATCACGTAGATGTGCACGTACCTGTGAGTTGGGCTACTGAAGAACATTATAACAATGGACAGGTGGATTGGACTCATGACTGAGGGGTGGGCTTAACCATGGACACTATTTCCCAGATTATCCTTAGCTTTGAAACATGCACTGCAGCCAAGCAGGCCAAGTAAAGCCACTATGGTATGGGGAACAATGCTCAAAATATAAATATGAGGAGGCCTAGCTAGTTAGACTGCACTCCCACAAACTTGCAAAGGCAAGCACTATGTGCTGATAGGGGTGGAATCCACCACCAGATGGCTGGAGATGTACCCTGTGCCTGAAAACCATTTTGAGTCTTGAAAAGCAAGGCCTGTGGTGACACAGACCCCCAGAAAGAGCTGAGTAAGCCAATGGAATTAATTTCAAAAGCAGTCTCATAGACCGCTGGACCAGAGAGCACAGCATTGAGTAGGTATAATATTCCTTACCATGCATCAACCTCTGGTATGGTAAACTGTGCACACTTGGGGCACTGAACTGAGGAGTAACATTCCTAAATCACGACAATATACCAGTGCTTATTAAATGGAAAAACATCTTAACTGCTTTTTTATAAAGCCTTATAACCTGTGTTTTCCTCTTCCTGTGCAGGGGCTGCTGCCACATCAAGTTCTACACCAAATGAAATGCCAGGGGAATGCAGGTGACAGCAGGACTTGCCAAATCACTTTGCACTTAATAGCTGCTGAAGGCCACTCGTTTTAATCAGTACTGAAAAAAAAATGATAATCCATTAAAAAAAGCACATAAAACCAACCAACCACCCAAATACTGACTAATGTTTACAACTTTGATTAAAAAGGTTACTATGTAAACTCAGAGTACACATTAATTGGAATAAAACTAAAGTACCTTGCCATATTTAAATGTATTTTAAAATTTTGATTAAATACATTATTTAAAAAACAGCTAACAAATTGTATTAAGTACTGATGTATGAAGATCCTATTCAATCTGCTTGAAGTATTTCTTCATCATAGATTAAACAGTGTTTTCTTTTAACTGTTTTCCTGTGGAAACAACAAATACTTCATTTACAATGCTTATTTTGAGCTTCTAAAAGGCTTCAAGAGAATGTGAATTTATAAAAGTTTATAGAAAAAAGCTATATTAAGTTTTGCAGAAAAGGGAGAGTTATGCAATATATTGTACAAACATAAGCAAGGACCTCTGAAATAAAATGGCATAGTTTTTGAATACCTAATTTTGTTTCTAACAGGTTAATTAACCAACCATAGTGTCTTCATAAAAATGACTTCATGCTGCAGAATCTGTTGATAAATTATTAATTCAAATCCATTCTCTCTTTTAGCAGAAAGCAAAAGTGTGGCCCAGCGTTAATGCAGCACCAGTCAAAACACAGCTGAATTTTGATTCCTGTTCATTATGGTAATTAGAAAATGTCAAAGTAAGCTCCTGAAAATATTTGCTGACTCCTTGTATCAACTGTCTTGAGGTCAGATTCATTGGAATTGAAACTGGAATAAATATTCTGGCGTTCTCTGCTTACATGGTGTCTGGCTGTAGTTCAATTGACCAAAATATAACACCTGCAAAATGACACGTTACTGATAAGACTGCTAAATTACAATGATAAGCTTTGGGAGCACTGTGTTAAGAATTACCAGTGACCTCGGACTGACAGAAGTCATTGTAATAATTTCAGTGAGGATATTATACCCAAACCAGAATGAGCAAGTATACTGAAATAGTAGGCAGAAGGGAACTTTCTCCCTACTAAGACAGATAGCCAGGTAGTGGAACTAAAGATCACTGCACCAGCACTATCCTAAAGAAAAACAGAAAGCAACACAAACATGAATCTGAATAGAATCACCACTTTGCATTTCATAATATGCATTTATCTTGGAGTTATCTTGCCCTAAACTTAAAGGCTCATTCAATTTTCTATCTATCTAAGGTTATTATTTTAAATTACCTACATCTGGTAGCACCCTGAATAGTATTCTGGAGATGATCAGTATCCACAAGAAGACAGTGCAGTATGATTAAGCACTTGGATTTCTAGGGGAGGAAGAACAAAAACCATACTTACTGAATGGACAAATTTATTAGCTGCACTTCCAAAGCAACAGGCTACAGGAATAATGAATGCAAAGCAAACCAGATCCACCTGGAATACTTTGTATTCTCAGCTGATAGTGAAAAAATATTTTACCGTAGAAAAGACTAACAGCATTTTGCATGCATAAACTCTTTAGAGGGATCTCTGCAGACCTGCGAGTCAGGAATTAAAACGTCTTCCTAAAAGTCTTAGCACTCCTTCTGGAGTGAATGGAACAAAACACAGCCAATCAAGCAAGAACTGAGGCAGTAGCAAGTTGTTTGGGCTTTTTCAAGGCAACAAACTTCTGAGAGAACAAGACGTTTGTGCTGTCAGAGTAAAAGCTGCTTTTGAGTCAAGATTTACTCTTCTCTCAGAAGCGTGACTGTTTCCAAAACACTGAGTGAAATAGAAATTAAGTGCATATACTGGAACAAAACCAAAATGTTATTCTACAATAACCAAACACAGTAGTTCTATCCTGACTAGAAATCTTTGAAGTGCTCTAATTTCTTGTAAAAACTCAACTTATTTCTAGGAAAGTGTTCGACGCAAACACCAATAGATGATGCTTCAATCAAATCTAACTTTAAAAAAATGTATCTTTTTTAATACAGATATTTTTAAAAAGCTGGAAAAAGACATGGAGACAGAAAGGAAAAAAAACAAACACGCTCAAGGAGTAATGGTATAGATTGCCAGGACACAATCTAAACACTGCAATCACAGATCACTTACTTAGAACATGAGCCAGAAGCCACACCTTCCCTGTGAGAGAGGAGGGACCCCCCTCTCCCTTTTAATAGGCTACAGCAAGAGGTTCTCACTGCTTTGGGAGCTCACACCCAGCTAGGAGAAGGCAGCTTTTCTGTCAGGTTAAGCAAGGCAGAAAGATCCAGTACAGCAGCTTCCTTGCAGAATCTTGCTTTTGAGCCCCCTTCTTCAACTGTTTTTTCTTCTGGTGATGGGAAGGAAAAGCACACCCTGTTCACATGAGCCCATGCTGCACCCACCTTGTCTACAGTGACAGCAGGCATCTGTGATTCCTCTCCAAAGACATTTACATATAGAAGCCAGCTGAGAGGTGTACTATGGAAGCATAAACTGCACTGGGAGCATGGCATCATAACATAACAGCAATTACTTACAGAAATTATCCTAAAATAGTAGCTTGGAATATCTGTCACACTTTTATATAACAGGAGAACAGATGGAGACACAAGACTCCTGTTTACCCTAAAATGAGTGTTTCAAACTATGCAAGCAGCCACAGGCACCTCCCAGTTTGAGTATACACAGAATCATCGAGTAGTGAAAGCAGTCATCCCTGACACCAGTGAGAAGTCTGAACACCAGCTTTGAGGATTTTTAGCCTCAAAACAGGAAATAGGTCAGGTCTGTCTGTTCTCACTTGCCAAATGCCATCGCAAGGCCTTTGCTATAAGGAAGCATAACCACAAAGCAAAATGGTCCACAAGAATTGAACCTCAAGGCCAGCAGAACCAAAGGCTGCTGAGCATCAAACAGATGCACCCAGTCTGAAGGGCTTTCAGAACTCTACAGAACTCTGCCACATGGTTTCCAGTGACACAGACTTTGAACAAAACATCCAGTTCAGCATCTGCCTGTATGCCAAAGCACAGTAATGTCCTGGCTCATTACTTGTGTATTATATAGACTTTTATATTTTGGGTCAGAAACAAATGCAACAGATGTAGAAAAAATGAAGACTGATGGCAACCAAAACACAACTGTCATTTTTCTACTCCAGCGAGTAGTTATAAAATTATCACACTTGTGCACTCACCTGACAGAACACAGTAACCAACAAAGAAAAAGCCTTTTATTCAGAAGAGATTCAGGGGTCTTTACAAGAAAGTAATGATTTCAACTTACAAAGTCAACATTACCACCAGCACCTTTCCTAAAGAGCTATCTTTTGTAAAATGTCAAGCATGTAAGTAAAGCAAACAAACAATCCATACCCAAACAAATTTCTACCCCAAAATCTCTATTTAGATTTTGCATATATATTTAAAGTACATCTGAATATCATGTCTTCATACTTCAGGTCCTTCTCCTCCAGGAACCAGCTACAAAAGAGTAAGACATTTTTGCATTAGTGCCCTAAAGTTAAGTTTTACAAACCCATACATGACAGCTCTTACTTTACAACAAACATTTTAGGACATGGAGACTTCATGCTAGACCACAAAAGTGGCTTTTTGACTCTCCCCTCCTTACAGAGGAAGTCAGTTATTTCCAGAGATGCACAAACCAAAAATGCAACAGGGAGTAAATCAGCATAGCATGTCCTTGCAAAGGAAACAAAGAATTGAAGAACAGAAAAAAAAAATACAAAAGGGAAAAAAAATATTAACCGCTACTTTTACTGATATCTTTTTCATTATCAGCTGAGCACTTCTAAAGAGAAAGAGCTTCACTGGTTTTGGGATCGAAATAAGAGTAAGTCTAAAGCATGGACTTCCTCCATGGGAAGATATGTCCCCAGAAGAGGCATGAGATCTAATGTAGACATGTATCTATGTCTTGCTGAAAATTCACCAGGCTCTTTTTCAAGGGCAACACAGTGCACCCCAGTGTAACTGGATAGTAGGAATTTCACCCCATACAAGGAGTCAGAACATATGCTGTCCTTTCAAGATGCAGACCAATTATCAAAGCAGATAAAAGGCTTAGAAAGTAACACAGGATGGCATCTGCTCTGGCACACAATGGAGAAGTGCAAGATGGGTAAAACAACACAATGGAGACAATTCCTCATTCATACAGAGCCAACTTAGACTCAAATATTTCCACGTGAGTCCTCCTCTTCCCACAAAATTAGGAATGCCCCTGTATTGGAAGTCCAGGCTTTATGGCCAGCTATACAGATAAGCTACTTGAAACTTCCTGATGTAACGGAACTACCAGGAAAGCTCAGCTTAAAGGAGTTGAATACAATCACCAGTCAATTTACAGGCACAGAAAGTCAACACGTGCAGCCTCTGACGACTCACCATAGTTATGTTATTTCCATTGAGCAGAATCTGGTCCAGCTTTGTGATTCTTCTGCCCTCAGGTGTGATCTCACTGAAGGAGCGTTAGAAAGAGTAAGTAAGAACACAGAACCAGGAACAATAGCTCCAGATTCGACCACAGAACTGACTGAAATCTCTGCATTAAGGTGACCATTGTTGGAACTAACAAATAAATCAGCTACACTGCAGCATGATCTTGATAAATGGAGCACCTAGGTACAGAAAGCTAATTGAAAAGGTCTCTTCTACTCAGTACATGGAGATGTGTATTCACCCTCTAAAGGCTGAAAATTTTTTGAATATACATATCAACATGATATGATAAAGTAAAAACATTTAAGTTGGCTACCTTGCTGAATCTTTGCCTAGGTCTTAAAGAAGTGTAAAACCAAATTAACTACTGGAAAGTTTCTCACACAACCCATGCAAAATTAAGACTACAGCTAGGATCACCATACAAATATAAACCACGCAATAGCTACTCTATGACATGGCTGTCCTGAACAGATCACCTTCTATAGTTTTAAGTCCAATGTTAAACTAGTTAGCTGGTAATTATTCCATAAATGTAAAAATATTTTTCTAGCAGACCTTACACAGTATTTTGTTTCAGTGAACCAAACATTAAATAGCAACAATAGGCAGAAAACATACTTACAATTCTGTAACATCTTCTAGCACCATATCTGAAAATCCAGTTTCAAGGAAAATAAGGCCCAGATTTTAAAACTAGACTATTTAATGCTATTTTCATCTTAGTCCAAAATGCAATTTTACCTGAAAGTTGAAAATACCAGAATACAACCAATCCATATAAAAAGGTTCTATTCAGTGGACTAAAAACTCTCAAGAGCTATAAATTACTTAGGCCATAGCATAAATCAGACAGACTTAAACATCCATCAAAGGATACTGACAAAGTCATCAAATCCTAGAAGTGTCCCAACTATTTCTTTGTCGCTTTTCATCACGATGTGAATGCGTGAACCGATGCACTTGTCCACAAGTTCTGTAGATACATAGAAAAGCATAGGTTCTACAAAGCAAGTCTTTCGTGCCTTACGGGGTTTTTTTCTGCTTATTTACACAAACACAGACACATTCCACACAACCTTACACACTCCCCCTCCACTCTGCCACACAAACCAGCCCCCCCATCCTTACACCCATCCCCCCTCCCACTGGCCTCCCTCAGACAGTCCCACAGCCCCACACCTCACCTCACCCCCCAGACTCCAATACCCCCACACCTATCCCCCACTCCCAGCCCCGTCCCGGGATCCTCCCGGGCCCTGCGCGGGCCCCGCCGCCCGGCTCTCCCGCCCTCCTGCTCCCCGCCCGGCGCCAGCGCAGCTCGGCTCCCCAGAGCGGCCGCAGCCACCGCGGCCCCCGCACATGGACCA